CAGTCCGATCAGCCTCATTTCAAGTGCTGAACAGCCACAGGTGCCAATGGCTACCCTTGTAGCGCCGACGTGGTTCTTTCCATTGTGTCAGAAAGTTCTGTTGTCCAGTGCTGCTCTCGGATTTCTTGAGTCCCTTTGCGAATATTGCATAGCTACTTTATTTCTTATTTCTTCCTACCTCTTCAAACGTTTTCCTTTATTAACTGAGGCTAATAAGCTCTCCTTCGAAGGACTGCTATGAAATTTAAATGTGATATTAGTTGTATGTGAAGCACCTATCCCAGTACCTGGCATATTATAATGCTTAATAAGTGGTAGCTCAACAAGTCCCCTTGGCCTGGAGCCAAATTCATTTGTGTTTTAAAGGTACCTGTAACCCACAAAGCATTCTGAAACAATACCCTTGGGAATCAGACTATTTTTATGGGAACAAGTCACTTATCATAGTTGATGAGAACCACTCTCAGAGTCATAAAGAAAGTAAGGCTTTTGCTTTCTGTGCTTTTTGTATCTTAATAGGAAAGAGAAAGAAAGACATGAAAATCCCCTAATGAGAAGCCACATTTCTAGTCCCAGGACTGGGGGTTCTGGTGCTGGGCTGCAAGTTTAAGAGCCAGTAAGTACAATCAGGCATCTCATGAAGACATCATACAGTGAGTGCGCTTACACAACCTTAGATGAGCGAGCCTATTGCACACAGGGCTGTATGAAAAATCTCTGCAGAGGTGTTTATACTATAGGTGTCAACACAGCCTTGGGCCCAGACAGGCAAACCAGCCGCTCTAATGGGAACTGTGTATACACCGCAAGGGTAATTACTTTGGGCTATAGCTGCCAACATGATTTAGCAAACTCCCTGCCTGCAAAGGACTGATCATCCCCTAGAGAATGGACCCCAATTCATTGTAACTGCACAAACCCACCTGAGCCTCCTGTGCTACAGGCTCTTTGAGGTCTTTTGTAATTTGCATTCCTTAGGCAAATGGAATTTAAATTCCTTAGGCAAATTTCATCCTGAAGGAACACCAAGATGACATGCTTGCCATTATCTCATTGTTTAGGCTTCTGCTTTATAATCATTAATGTATGCTTCAACAGGCAGGGGAGGTAAAGCATGTGGGCTAAATTCCACTTGACTTTCATGAATGCTCCTTTACCTTTCAACAGCCCTTGCTTTCAAAGCACCTTCACAGGTATCTCAGTTGCCCTTCGTGATATTCCTGTATGGCGGGAAGGGCATAATGAGGTATTGCAGGGAGTCCCGGGACCGGGACTGGTGCTGGGCTGCAAGGTGAAGAGCCTGTAACTACAATCATGCACCTCGGAAAGACAGCACACAGTGCACTTACACAAACCTCTTGTAGATGACAGACCCCACTGCACACAGGGCTGTACGGTATAGCGTACTGCTCCTAGGCTACAAGTCTGTACAGCGTGTTACTATACTGAATACTGGAAGCAACTGTAACACAATGGTAGGTATTTGTGTATCCAAACATATCGAAACATAGAAAAGGTCCAGTAAAAAAATGATATTAAAGACAAAGTGTGTGTGTGTGTGTGTGTGTGTGTGTGTGTCCACACTGGAGGGGCAGGGCAGTGAAGGAGGAGCCCACAGGAAGGGAGGGAGAGGAGACTTGGGGAGAGACGGGGGATAGAGGACAGGAGGGAGGGGAGAGAGCGGGAGAGACGGGGAGAGCAGAGATAGAAAGAGACCCAGAGAGATAAAACTTGAGAAATAATAAAAGAGAGCAGGGGAGGAGAGAGAGGGAGGGAGAGAGAGGCTGAGAGGAAAGAGAAATAAAGAGAAGGGGGGGGGGAGTGAGTTTGCGTGCACATGTGCACTGAGGCAGGCCAGCGGGCAGGAGTGGGCTTCGGGGCTCCCCTCCTCCCAGTCCTCTCCCCTTCCTCCTTTGCCAACTCAGGGCGCAGCCCAGGGAGCTGAGTGGGGACAGCACGCTGAGCCTCATTCTCTATTTAAACTACCCAGAGATAGCAGTAAATTCAACATCGTAGTGCGGTCCTGCCTTGTTTTTTTCCATGACATTTCAGTCAAGGAAGGACCACATAGGTGACAGTGGTCCTGTAAGATTATGATGGAGCTGAAACATATCTATTGTCTAGTGGGATAGTAGCTGTCATAAGGTCTTAGGTAGGACGCATTGTGGTTTCAGTCTATGGGTAGAGATGCTCTTGGTTGGCAATGCCTGGGGGCACCTACCTGGGACCCTGAGCTTCCCATAGACCAGGGGTCGGCAAACTTTTGAGACAGAAGAGCTGCCACGGGTCAGCAAACTGCGGCTCGTGAACTGTGGCTCTGACTTGTTGGCAGCTCATCGGCAGCACAGCTCGGGCCGGGACTTGAACCGCTGTTGCTCAGAGCTCGCACTCTGGCGTGAGCTCTTAACCAACTGAGCCACTCGGCCGGCCCATATAAAAATTTTAAAGGATGTTATTCACATAATGGTAATTATGTAAAAATATATTTATGGCTCACGAATAATTTTTAAATTGTTGTGAGGGACAGGATTGGCTCTTCCAGGGGTCAGCAAACTTTTGAGATGGAACGTACCCAAAGAGCCGCAGTGTGGCTCATGAGCCGCAGTTTGCTGACCCCTGCCTTAGACTGGGTCATCAGTTTCTAAACTGATGTGACAACTAACCAGCTCTTGGGGTTCTTATTACATTGCAAGACATCATTCAGCAATAACCATCAGGAGACTTTGAAGGAAAAAATAGTTTATTACTTACAGGCTTTGGAGCATCCAGACACACCAGGAGGCACAAAGTGAGGTTGGAGGCCTAGGGTTCTGCTTTTTTGGGGGATCCACTGTGGGGGCCTAGGATATTGCAGGCTCATGCTTTACTGAATTTAAAACATAATGAGAATTTAAAGCACAGGGAAGAAAAAAACAAGCAAACCAGTAGCCCAAACAGCCAGTTATCAAAATCAAGATCTCCAAAACAAAGGAGTTGGGTGTTGGGAAGGCAGGCTGGCTCTTTATCTGGTCCTCTGGCCGGCAGTGTGCTCATTCCAGACAGCCTTGCTTGAAGTGGATGCCTCTGCAATCAAAGCTTAAGTCAGGCACTTGCATCACAAAAGGAAAAGCCAACTGTCAGGGCTCACCCTGTGATTCCTCAGGTGTGTGTGGTGATGCTGGTGTAAACAAACCTCCTGCACTGCCAGTCGTGTTAACAGCATAATCACAGAAGTCGGCTATCTAGGTTTGTGTATGTTCCCAGGAGAAAACTGCCTTACGACACATTTCTGAGCACGTATCCCGGTTGTGAAAGGGCACATGACTGTAATTGCTCCCTTTGCATTCGTGAGCAATGCAGGACTGCAAGGTTGGGTAGGTTACACTCAGACTACGACGTGTCATCATTCTGTACTGCAAATGGCGACAGTCACGTCCTAGGTTTCAGAGGGAAGCTTAAGTGGTGTTTTTATACATTTCAAACGATATAGTCCATTTGCTAGCAGAACTATCAATTCTTTCAACCATTAACCTGAGACAAAACTTTGGCCTCATATTTATCTTAATTTCTCCTTAAGCATCTCAGTAATGGGGTGACAGAACAATTTAATTTCTTTTGAGACTTAGACGAATGTGATTATTTTGCTATGGATCTTCATTTTCCTCGAGTTCTTGATTCTGATGCTGAGGCCATGGGATTGGCTCTTCCTATGAGAAATTTACCTCTGAATTATGGAGAGATCAGCAGATGGGAGAGGATGGCCTGAGGCAGAGGACTTGGCCTGGAATCTGAGCTCCAGCTTCCGGCTCTGGGTATCTTGTCACTCCCTCTCTAAGGCATATCCTCACCTTAGTGCGATCACCTGTACTTCGTGGGGTACATGTGAGGCTTAAGTAGCTGTGTGAAGAGTGGACAAAAGTGAATGTAGCTAGAAAATCCCACATACCTCTATCACCTGTCTTTCCTGTGCGCATGCACGCGCGCGCGCGCGCGCACACACACACACACACACACACACACACACACACACCACCTAACTAGTGATGTTGGAAGGAACCAATTTTAATTATCTCCTAGTTTTTCTTTACATTTTACTTTTCAAAAAGCACACGTGTCTCCATCCATCCTGAAAGAAGAAATCTCTTAAAAGAACCATTTAATTTTGTTAGAATTTTCTAAGTAATTCCATCTACAAATTGGTAGGCAGGATGCTGTAACAATTACCTTGAGTTTTGTTAAGATCTTAGCTGCCCCTCCCCAGCGCATAGAAACTCATCCTAATGTTCACTACGTGGCATCATTTCTCTTTTAGTATCTGTGAAGGCAGGTTTTAGTTCTGTGAAGGCAGGGTGCTGTCAGCCCTGCTCACAACTGTATCTTCAGCATTAAGCATGTGTGAGGTAAACAGTAGGTGTTGAATAACTAAATCATTTGAATAAGTAAACTGGGGTGAGAAAAACCCTGAAAATTTACCTGGGTGCCTGTGAGAGCTTCTGCTCCATCCAGGTAAGCTCATGAAGGCTATTAGTAACTCATGACTTCAGAACTGTTCAAACTAAAGTATTAGGTATTTCAGGCCTAAGACATTTTGATTTTATACAGCTCTGAGGAAACCAGGTCTGGAGGCAGAGGAAATTAAAAAAGCCTTTGGTGTGGTCTGGGTGTGTCCTTTTAAAATTTATAATGAATTGGGTTTTTCCCCTTCTCCTAAGCTCAGAGTGAATATGTGCCAAAAAATCAAACTTCTTCCAGGATCAATGTCACACTGCATCTGAGAAATGAGATTGATTAAAAGTCCATCACAAACAACTCTTTAATTTAGAATCAGCATCCACATAACGTCTATGTAGATGTTATGTGGATACTGGCATCTTTGCCAGTTTAAAAAGGTTCAACGTGGCTTAACAAATTCCAGTCTCTCAATCTCAAAATGGGCAGTGATGAGCTGAAGTGAGGGCTCAAGGCAGATGGCACCCGAGATTCTCTTCCTTTTCAAATAACAGAAGCTAATTCAATCGATCCCACTTAGCAAATAATAAATTTATTAGGTGCCTACAAGTACAAAACACTGAAAGCTGCTGGAGGTTATAAAGCCGTGCAGAAGAGCCCTGCCCTCAGAGAGCTTACACTCTAGGCCATTCGTCACCATTAGTAAGTCGTGGCAATACCGCTTACGTGACTTAAGCAGAGTTCTTGCAAACGTTCACATCCTTGGAATTCTCCTCTTGTCAAATATGTAAGGAATCCTTTCAACAGGAAAGCCAAACAGTGGGAAAGAGACCTTTTGTGGAGCGAATTGGTGACCTTGGCTTTGCTTATGGGCATCTTTCTGTGGCTGTTGCTTATTCTTGCAACTTTCTCAGCACATGGTTTCCTAACGACCTTTGTTTGGAGAGCATCGCCATGCTTCCTGAACCTTCACCAGGGTTTCCTGTTTGTTAGTGAGTGGCTCAGCTGCAGCTTGGCCTTGGAATGATTTGTGGTCCGGTTTTTCCTTCAGCAATTCTTCTGTTTTTCACTTTAGTTGATGTTGGAACAATATGCCTTGCAACCTGTGGTTTTCAGGGTGGGAGTGAGATGCAATACAAACGAGAGCAGGCCCAACTTTTCCCTTAAACATTTAATAGTGCACTTATCGATTATATTCTGTACAGGAATAGAGTAAGTTATAAACCTCTTCTTTTATTTTTCTTTTTTCATTTAGACTGTATTCATGTAAAGTGTATTTACATTAGGAAAAAAAAAAGCCTTGAGGTACAAAACCCAAAAGAATATCTGAGGTATAAATACAAGTATATTTTAAATAATAATCTTTATCATGCTTAATCTATGTTTGAAAGCACAGTGGACAAGTGTACATGTGTCTTATTAGAATGGTATATACAACATACAATCTTACAAATCTGAAAGCCATTAAAATTGAATATACAAGTATATCTTCATGAGGAACACTGATATCCAAAATACTCAAATTTTAACACTCTAAATCTGTCCCCGCCCCCAAATTCTTCAAAGAACTTTTGAAATAACACTGATAATGGTAACTACATTGTTAAAACAAAATAAAAATCCTTCTTAACAACTCTCATTCATACAGTATTCACTTCGATCCGCACTAAATAAATTTCACTAATACTGTCTCTTGAGTCAATCTTTACCATTACAGTAAAACCTGTATAAAGACTACCCTTCCAAAAAACTGTGCTGGTGTTTTGTTTTGTTTTACTATGATAACTATTTGACATTACCACTAAAATATATTCCAAGGGCATCATTATAAAGGAAAAGAAAAAGAAAAGGTAGGAAAAACAACCCCCTCAAAAAGTCACAAAACCAGAAAATCTATTTGCTGTTAAGGGCAAATCCAATTAATAAACATGTTCAGCTTTCAGAAATGCTGTTAATGACAACAACCAATGACTTTTGCAGTTGGGTTAAATTTATAGGGATTTCCTTGGGACTTACACAGTTTGCCGTGCTCCCATACATGGTACGCTTAAAAGAGTTTCTGTTATAAACATGAAAATGCAAAGAATTCAGACAAGTAAACTGTTTTGATGCTTGATTCACAAGTAAATGGTAGAGTGTGCCGTTTTTACATCTCCACTTTTTTTTAGACAAAAACGAAAACAAAACTGTGTTTTGGAGCTAGTAAGGGGGGCGTTTTCATCCCTTAATTAATCTATCCTGGTTCAAAACGACATCATTATTTGCAATCAGTTCTAGAGATAAACACTGTGTTTGAAATGGGATAGAGTAAATTACTACAGTTACTTTTAAGGTCAAGAAGAGGTTGATGGATGAATCTGTTTTAAAACTCAGGAAAAAAAAAATGGACCAGGGTGGGTTGTCCAACCCCTTCCAAATAAATGGGTTCCCTTTCTGGGTGGATCCAAGGGTAGTCAGACATTCCAGGTTAAACTGAACCTGATGTATCAATATCCTTCTTGGAGGCATCTCAGTGTGCCAGACACTGCATCCCAACTTACACATCTATGCCAGTCGGCCAGCAACAAACACACATACACACACTTCTCTGTGCAAACCTTTCTTTGCTCATCTCAGTGAGAACACATGTCAAAGAGTACCAACTATTCCAGTGGATACACCAGTCCCTCAGCACACTGCCAATACAATGATATAGGTACACACACACCAATATCACAAGAGAACGAAGTATCTTCATTATCTTCCGTAATGTATTTATAGAGTTTTGCTTCTCAGAAGCAATTCGCATAAGAATACATTTCTTTTTGTTTTTTTTTGCTCAGTCTTCTATATTCCAGTCAAGGCCTATAACATAGACCTTAAACAAACAGGAAGCAGCTTTAAAAATGTATCAAATCGCTACAGTCCATTCCTACACTCCGACTTGTCCTTTTGCTTCAGGATTCGATGCAGAACCGTTCTCCCATGGACTGGCCAGGGTTTTAGAAACAAATTCCCAGGTGGTGGACATAGTGCTCGGCTTCAGTAATCACCTAGATTTGGTGTCTTTGGTTTCAGTGTTCTGATTACAGAAAGAGTCTCGGATCTTTACAACTTCAGCTGCACACAAATGTCCGAAAGATTTCGTGTACCACTCTGGCATGTGGCCCCTACAATAGAAAGGAGAAAAGCAGGTGAATTCTTCAAGTTGAAAAGCCCTGCAATAATCTGAAGGGTGTTGTGAATACACTTCCATTTCTTGATCAGCGAAATGTGTAAGTAAAGCTTACTCTTATTATTTTAAGGTAGTCTTCTGGCACCTCCATTATACTCTTGGAACTAGAAGTTTCTCAAGAAACAACATATTGAGTACAGATACTGAGAGAAACTGTTCAGGGAAAGCTTTGGCATATATAACAAAAACAGACCACTTAGATAATTGGAGAAGTACTGAGATGTAACGATTTCCAATGAGAATTTATTTAGCATGAGAGCCACTTTGGAAAGCTTTCAGAGGTTCATTTTTTTTATTTTTGTCTGTATTGCTGCATTTCACTAACTTTTTGATATGCATGCACATTGATCCGTGGCACAGAATATAGGCCTGATTATTACGAAAAGAGCATGTCACATTATTCAAACACTTTTGAATATAAAGTGAGAAATATCTGCTTGTTAGGTCAAACTCTCATTTCTTGTGGCTTTTTAAAATTTAATTTATTGGGATGACACTGGTTAATAAAATCATGTAGGTTTCAAGTGTACAATTCTATAATACATCATCTGTATATTGCATTGTGTGTTCACCATCCAATCAAATCTCATTCCGTCACCATATATTTGACCCCTCTTACCCTTTTCAATCTTCCCCTCTTCTTCTTTTCCCTCAGATAACCATTCAACTCTTGTCGGTGTCTATGAAATTTTATATTTATTTATTTATTAAAGATTTTATTGGGGAATTGGGGGAGGGGAACAGAGTTGGGGAATCAGGGAAGGAGAACAGACACGTTGCTGTCTTTTGTTCTTCAGTCTAGCTGTGGAGGACGCTGCTTCACTGGCCCATGTTGATATTATCATTGCGCTCTTTCCGGGTGAGGCAGTGACTCACTGGCCATTGGACGGCCGCTCACAGAGGTTCACAGCAGCTTACGAAAGCTTACGCCTACTGTCAGCAAGCCCCACTGCGGCCTACGCCGTCGCCAGCGACTCACAGCAGCCCAGCTCCAGGCTGAAATGTTGTTCACCATCTTAGCTGCAGAGGGTGTAGCATCACTGGCCCTCATGTGGGATCTGAATCGGGGCCCTGCTGCTCAGAGCGGGCATCCCAAGCCAACTCTTAACCAACGTGCCACTCAGCTGGCCCCTGAAATTTTTCATTTGTTTGTCTTATTCATTTGTTACTTTCAGTTTTATATCTCACAAATGAAATCATATGGTTCTTGACTTTTTCCATCTGACTTATTTTGCTTAAAATGATAAGCTCAAGATCCAGCCATGTTGCAAATGGCAGTATTTCATCTTTTCTCATGGCTGAATAATCTTCCATTGAGTATATGTACCACAGCTTTATCTTGTGGTTTTAAATTCATGGCAGAACCATGACATCCACATTGCTTTAGTGGCACATTTTCTAAAGGATCAAAATTAGAAGTGGTAGCCAAAAGACCCAGAAACATGAAGGTGTTACTTAGTAAGCGCTACTTTTCATGGAATAACCAAGATACAACAATGTATTCTTCATTTAAGCCATTTCTTTTTTGCATCAGACAAAAAGTCTTAACGTTCTTCATGACCTTGACCATGTTAAAAAATCAGAATCATAACCTACCTTAAGTCAGCTCTGCACATGTAGGTGAGTTTGGATTTCCCTGACCCGCAGGGTTCGATCAGATACCTGGACAGGAGCACATTGACCCTCACCCCCACCACAGGTGCCCGGTCGTGGTCCACAGAGGTGAGTAAAAGGGCACACGCCCCCTTGGGTAAGTTCGTCCTCCATGTCCTGTAGAGACAAAACCAAAGGGAAAACATGGAATTTCCTGGAAGCCAAGTTTAAAACGGGGCCTCACTCTTAGAGGAAACAGCTGAGGGGCAGGATCGGTGGCTGGGACCCAGCCCTGGGAAGACGGCATCTCTCGAACTATTGTGCAAGGACTCCTGAATGGATAACTTTGTACAGAGCCATTTCTACAGTGGGTGTACACACTCACACAGTCAGTTCTTTGAAACGGAACCAATTTGAAGGGTGACAGAAAACCATTTTTATATTTCACAAACTCATCAGAACACGAACATCCAAATGAGTGTTTCTGTTGGAAAAGTGCTGGACTAACGATGTGACATTTCCTCAAAGATTTTTGGAATTCCTCTTTCAATAATGTCTCCGGAGAATTATGAATTAGATGTAAATCAGCTTTAACCACAGCTCTCTTGGAACCCAAACGTTATTTCCTGGCTTATGCATTCACTAGCTATTTCTAATGAGAAAATGTATCCTAAAAGGGGCAAGAATCTGCTACTAATAAGAATATTCAATTGAAAGTGCCTCTCTTTTCTGAGCTCAATTCCAAACGAGTTCAAACCATTTTCAGGGATGAACACACACACTCTTGGAATACAAGCAGCTATATTTTCCATCTTTGGAAGGGTTCAATACTTTTCTGGAGGCATATGTTCTAGTTTAAATAATTTTACCATCTTATAACATTCAGTGACGTACAAGTTCATTCTTGCCACAATAATTAATTTGGAAGCTCTCACCTCAAAACAACGTAGTCCCGAGCAGGATGGGGTGCCATGCTGTTTTGGACATACTGGTAAATTTCAGTCTGACTGTCCAAGATTTCAATTACTTTTGAATCCAACAGGTCTACATCCCATAGGTGCTGCTCCTTAAGTAGGCGCTTTAGGATCTCCTCAGGCATAGCAGGGACTTCGATGGTTGACCTCCAAAGCCTTAGAGGGGGTCCTTCACTCACCTGAAAAAAGCATGTGTTTTCCAGTGCTAAGACAATTCACACACATCTACCTCTGGCTGGGTACATGGTCGTATGGTAGAAGCTAGTAATTATCTACGGCTTTAATATCTGTCATCCCCGAGTATAGTGAAAGGCAGGTCAGAAAGTGAACGGAACCGCTAGTGGCACTTCAGGTCAAAATTGTTCCATCTGTTTTCCTGGGACCCATATGAGGGTCAGCACAATAAAGTAAGATTGTGTATTTGAGCCCCAAAGCCTGCATATCCACCCAGACTGCTCTCACTGTTTATGAGACAGTAGCAACACATACCTCCTATGGGCCTATCCTACTAAGCCATACAACATGCATCTGCCCTCAAGAGGCTTTCGGTCCCAACAAGTTCATTTCTCCCCCAAGCGTTCCCTGCTCATTAAAAGGTCAAGAGTAGAGTGACTGAGAACATAGGAGAGTGCAAGGGGATTCTGACCAAATTATGGCGAAATCTAAGCACATCATAAAATGCCCTGAGGCCCAATGCCACTAGGAGCACATTCTAAGGAACTCTAGTGTGAGTCTGTAGAACCAAAGGATTGCATTAGGTAGTTTGATTCCTCTGACAAGTGTTAGATGAGTATTCCTCACTGGGATGGTTTCCACTCTGAGCTGGGGAATCTGAATCACCTGGCTGCCCAGCTCTGCAAGGAAGGGAAGAGGTGACAATCCCCACAGAGACCTGTACTGACCAAAGGGTCTCTTCTCTGATGAACTCAAGTCCTGACCACTGGAACTCAACTGGCTGACACCAGGGAGATGACTTACCTTCTTATAGGACAGCTCAGCCTGTTCAGATGTGGAGTGGCTGACCCAGCCTTTAAACTTCTCCTTGACCTCTTTAAACAGGTTGTCCATGCAGTCCTGGAGGAAGTGTTGGTAGTCAGCTGACTCGTCATTACAAAGGCGTCCTAATGCCTCTAGAGTGAGGGGCTTTAGCTCTTGTTCAGTGTAGGAATTCCGACATCGGCTCATTTCCTCAGGCACCTGTGAGGAACGGGAGAGACCAAAAGGAGGTTAGTCTGCCTGTGCTCATTCTCACTGCCCATAGTGGAAATGCCATAGCTGGAGGGGTGTCCCTGCCCACCTCACATGGTATCATGAGGATACGACAATCTTCATAAAGGTATCTATCTACAAAGATGATTGTGTAAAGTAGTCTTCTTTGGAAAGTTATAGTAGGAGGGTAAGTGACTAAAATAGGGCTTACATTGATGAAGGCACGTTTCTCAGACACAGAATTTATTTCAGATAATTTGTTGCTTTTTTTTTTTAAAGATTTTATTGGGGAATTGAGGGAGGGGAACAGCGTTGGGGAATTGGGGAAGGGGAACAGACAAGTTGCTATCCATTTGTTCTTCAGTCTAGTTGTGGAGGACGTTGCTTCACTGGCCCATGTTGGTATTGTGATCATTGCGCTCTTCCTGGGTGAGGCAGATCAGTTGCTGGCCATTGGATGGCTGCTCATGGCAGCTCACGGCAGTTCACGCCGGCTGCTGGCCATTCACGGTAGCTTATGGCAGCCCACTGCAGCCTCACTGCAGCCTACGCCGTCACTGCGACTCACAGCAGCCCAGCTCCAGGTTGAGCTGTTGTTCACCATCTTAGCTATAGAGGGAGCAGTGTCACGGGCCCTCATGTGGGATCCGAACCGGGGCCCTGCTGCTCAGAGCTGGATTGCCAAGCCAACTCTTTTTTTTTTTTTTAAAGATTTTTATTGGGGAATTGGGGGATGGGAACAGCACTGGGGAATTGGGGGAAGGGGAACAGACAAGTTGCTGTTGTTTTGTCCTTCAGTCTAGTTGTGGAGGACGTTGCTTCACTGGCCTAAGTTGGCACCATCATTGTGCTCTTCCCGGGCGAGGCAGACCAGTCGCCGGCTTCTGGACGGCCACTCACGGCGGCTTGAGGGCCACTCACGCTGGCTGCTGGCTACACACGGTAGCCCATGGCAACCCACTGCAGCGGGGGCTGCAGCCTACGCCGTCGCCAGCGACTCACGGCAGCCCAGCTCCAGGTTGAGCTGTTGTTCAGCATCTTAGCTGTAGAGGGCAGTGTCACTGGCCCTCATATGTGGGATCCGAACCGGGGCCCTCTGGCGTCCCAAGCCAGTTCTTAACCATCGCGCCACTCGGCCGGCCCTGCTTTTGCTTTTTTAAGTAAAGGGGTGTAGAGGCAGGCAATTTCATTAAACATACTAACTCTAATGAACTTATACATTATAATATATATAAATAAGACATTCTCAGGCTCTGTATATATCTCCAGCTGGGGCAAAGATCTTTTGGTAAGATGTGAACAAGTACTATAACTAAGATTTCGTTTCTATTCACTTTATTCTTTTTTTTCTGTTCAACATAGTGGCCATGTTTTTCTTTCTTTTTTAAAGTTTATTGGGGAACAGCCATGGTCATAGGTTACACATTGCTTTCATGCTACAATGGCATAGTTGACTCTCTCAGGGAGGGGTGCGGTTCACTGTGGCCCATGTGGGAATCGAACCGGCAACCCTGGTGCTATTAGCACCACGCTCCAACCGAGTTAACCGGTCACCCCATCACATTACTCTTAACATATAACAAAATTTTCCAACTACTTACCTGGAAAAGCTTCTTGCACTCAGCTATCATATGGGCCAGCCCTTGAGTGGCAGCGAGGTTTTCATTCAAATCTTTCTGGTCGGGTTTGCCTAAACTTTGTTTTCTTTGCATTACCCTAGGTAGAACAAACAAAGGGGGGAAGATTCAAATATTTATATATTTTCAAATCAACGTACTAGTCGAGGAAACCCACAAGAGAGGAAAAAAACAATGTCACTGGAGCCTATGTGTCATTAAGGGGCTCAAGAGAGCTTTGCTTTGGCCACTAGAATTTCTCAGCTTTATCAACAACACACAAAAAACATGGAAGAGACTGTTTTCAATGAAATCTAGGCTATTTAAAGTTGTCACACGAAATAGGTTCCTATTTAAATAGGGCAGCTTATAAGGTCTATGTTTGTGTGGTGGGAAGGAAGAAAGGCAGCAAAGAGGGGGTTGTGGGTGGGAGGCACTGGACATTGGGGCAAATAGTGTCACTCTTCTTCTCAGTTTAAATAAACAGGGCTCCTCCCAAAGGTGAAAATCTGTGGTTTCCTAAAGGTGTTGCCTTAATCTTATCTGATCTTTCTCTTCTGCTCATCTCTGATCTCCATCCCATTTAAGTCGGAATGCCCCATTCAAAGATTAGAACTAGTTGAAATGATAGTTTATCAGTGCATGGCTTTCAGAAGCAAAGCTCACTTCAACTAGCACAACTAGGCCCCATGCTTCTAGCTAAGAAATATTTGTCAAGTTCCTTTAGAGCTGAAAGAACAGGATCAGCTGGGTGGGTTGGCATGTGGGGTTAAGGCCAGTTCACACACACTCCACTATGAGGCCTTTACGTGAAATATTCATACAGTCAGCAGCTCCAGCGAGCTCTACCATTTCTTCTGTCAGACAAGGGCAAGTTACTTACTTAACTGACCTTCCCTACTATCTCCCTTTCGTCTAATGCAAAATAGATACTGACAGAATCTTCACCTGCTATGAGTGTTATGAGGATTAAATGAGAATTTAATGAATGTCAAGGGTGCAGTCTTGCGCCTGGGACAGAATACATGCCAAGCAAGTATCAGCCTTTGTTATCTTCCAGATTCTCTGACTTCTTCGACAGCCACTTCTATCTTGTATACATCTAAGGAGAAACTTGGCAAACAACTGGTTTAAACCAGGTCCTAACTTTGAGGCTCAACCTTATCCTTAGTTCTTTTTAGACCCGGCTCCTTTCTTTCAGCTACCAGCGCAGGCCAGGAGCTCGGCTTTACTGGCTGTGAAGAAGCGAAGGCAGCAGGGCTCTTATCCCCCGTCCAGCTGTTTAGCTCAGTAAATCTGCAGAATTCTTTGCATGATGACAAAGGTATGATGACAAAGTTACAGAGGGCACTGGGGAGCGTTGGGCTAAACACTTCCCAGGGCAAAGCACAAATCCTGATCTCTTTCCCCAAACCTGGTTGTGACTAGACTGTCCAAGAAGTCACACCCTGAGGGCTGAGAACAAAGAAAGGAGGGCAGGCGAGGTACGTGGGTTGTGAAGGAACGAAGGAGGTCCAGCTCCTTTTGGCTGGATTCAGGTATGACTGCAACAAGAACCCAGGGACAAACCCTAGAAGGAAAGGGAGGAAGCCTCAGTCTGAAGGACGGAGCCCGTGCATGCACATGTCCTCTGACCGGTACCTTGGAGAAGAATTCTCTCTTTTCAGGGTGTTGAGGTGGAAGAGGGAAGGCGCTAAGCACACGGCCAGGTTGGTGGGAGTCATCTGGTTTTCTTTCACAGCTGCTGTGACATCGCTTAAGAAATAAAGGAGCGTCTGTAGAACCTCCCGGTTCTCATCAGGCAGGAGCATAATGGCGGCCTTGATTGCCTGGAGGCGCTGGTCCTTGGGCACATCTGCACAACACGAGCATTTTCCCCATCAATTCAGTGATTTTCCATGTACATTGCAAGGAAACGTCCCAAAGCAAACACATCAGCATCAAAGAGCTCAGCCCCGTCCTGAACAAGCACTTGCAGAAAAGTGTACTCAAGGTTAATATGGAAGAAATTAGGGTTGCCACCAGCGTCACTACCCTCAAGTATTTCCTGCCTGTGGAGGAGTTAAAATATTTTAAACACCCACAATGCCAACAGACTCCTAAATCCACCTCAGAGTTCAACTCCAGATGAAGCCTGTTCTTTTAGTTTACAGAATACTTTTTCTTTTCGAAGTACTTTTTAGAAATCCCTAATTTACCATTCTCAATGAAAACATGATACACTTATAGTTTTGCTTAGTTTCAATGAAAAACCTTATCTAAGATATGTATGAAAGGATAAGAACTGAGATTTCTTCATTTTTCCTACAAAATACTCAGTATCTCTGGGGACTTTCATAATTTTAAGTGATCTGCTCATTCCTGAAATGGGAAAAGGAAGTGGCTCAAATAGTTAGTCTAGTTAGTCAATTTAAACAGCAGACATATTTAACTGGTAATTTCTTTAAATTTTAGAAAGCCTACTGAGAGGCTATTATAAAAATACATGCTTGAGAACTAGGCCCATAAACGAATACATGTGGAGAAAATGCTGAACCCAACTTTCGGGTCTCCTTTACCAGGCAAATCTTCCTTTTAAAAGGCATGTGGTGGAAAAATCAAGTCACTCAAATGCAGCTCCATAGGACAAACTGATTAAACAGCTCCATGGTTACAATACATAACAAATACTTTGGTGGGGGAAAAAGTGACCTGTGTTTTCATAAAATCTGAAAGGATGAAACAAATAATGAAATAATCCAGACCAGCTCCATTTCTCATAAAATAAAGTCCAATGCGCCAGCTACAGACAATTTGAGCACTAAGAGAAGCTGCTTTCAAATTACATTGCTGTAATGCCACACGGAGCCAAGAAAAACACAAGGCTGTAAAAGCTATAATCCTGATCTTGATCATTAATTTAGACAACTGTTTGCTTTAAGCTTTACTTAAAAGTGAGAAGGGCATGGGTATTGTTTTCCCAAGTATTTCTGGCAGAAGCTGAGATGAATAACAGAAAAAGGTTATTTATTCATTTTACAGCACGATAAAACACACAGGCACCTGTGAAATTTTAAACACAACAGGCTCTCTGCTGGTGAGATGGGAAGCAACTGAAATTTCTATAGACAAGGCGGAGAGAGACCTTGGTACCTGCTCTTGTTTTGTTTTTTAAATTTTATTGGGGAACAGTGTTTTTTTTTTTTTCTTTCTTTCTTTTTTTACCTCCCACAACCCATCAACTCCAAGTAGTTGTTTCAATCTAGTTGTGGAGGGCGCATCTCAGTGGCCCATGTGGGGATCGAACTGGCAACCTTGCTGTTATGAGCACTTTAACCAACTGAGCTAACCGGCCGCCCTGGTACCTGCTCTTTTAAGCCTCCTAGATAACCCTGTTCTAGAAACAAATCAAAGAATGATCTCTAGGATCAGAAGTTAAAAATATACAGTTGGTTCAGTAGTTAGAGAACAATAATAAGAGACATTTATTTTTGCATTATTCCACAGATATACAGACACCCATCCCACAGAAAAGGAGGCAAGGGCGAAATTGATGACATGTGTTTCCAGGAGGCCACCACATGGGTGCAAAAGAATGACATCAAAAGAAGCAGCAGGTTTCAGTTGGTCCTCCTTTTCCCCTCTGCCAACAATGTTAAGATCAAAGGACACTCACACTGGTAGATCTGTAGGAAGGTTTCTGAGAGCTTGTTCGTCATTAGCGGCTCAGGAAGATCTCGAAAATACTGCTTCAACATATCTGCCACATCATAAGCAGACTGTCCCTCATAGTTGACACACTCTATGGCACTTTCATTCATCTGGCGCAGAGCCTGAATCCGGGATTTAACACCTGATTTTCTGAAGAGCCCAACCTGTTGGAAGAAAGACGTTAAGTTTCAAGATGAAAGCAACATGATCCCTACAGAACTAGAAAAGGAAGCGTGCATCTGAGCTCCCGCGATTAAGTGGGACGTACGTGCAGGCAGTGGCTCTCACCTGATCCAAACAATGGTTGCGGAGGTAGCGCATGGCCTGCTGAATGCTCTGGGGCAGAGGCTGTCCTGTGCGCTGCACGTTGACCGTCAGAGGGACTCCAAACACATTCCGGTCCTTGTAGTCTGGAACCTTGATCCTTTTCATGAACTTGGGCACGGCCCTATTTAAAGAATATTGGGGGCAAGGCGGGGAGAGAGAGGGAGAGATGTTTACTTGTCTAGTCTACTCTTGTCCATCTCTGCAGGTAAACCCAGTGGGTCCTAGATCTGTGCTCATAAGGTGGCTATTTAAATTAAAATAAAATAAAATTACAAAACCAGTTCCTCAGCTGTACCAGCCACATTTCAAGCACTCACTAGCCATTTGTGGCCAGGAGCTACCATATTGGACTGTGCAAATTTAGAACATTTCCACCATCTCAGGCAGTTCCATTGGACGGTGCTGGTCTAGATCTTCTAAGAGTTGGGACTGTGAGGCCCAGTCACATTTCTTCAGTTGTGGATCCTCCTTCTGGTGTTAACTCTGAGCATTGGGTCTATCAATATATCCTTAAGGGAGCTCCCGGGCTTCCTTACAAAATGGTGGCACAGGAAGGAACGGAAGAAGAAAACAATATGCAAGACCTTAATTAGGTGCTTCGTGACAGAGTTTGGAAAACAAGTTGCCTTTTGTCCTGAAAACAGACCAGAATCATTTCTAAGCTCGTGATGAGATCCAAAGTATTTAGTTAGGTAAAAAGGATCAGGTAACGCTGGATGAGAAAACAGCAACTATATGATGTTGGTCCAACATAACAACCAACTCTAGGGCTGAACAGTAGGGGCCAAGCTAATGATCCGAAGTCAAATAAATTCTCTAGCTGATGACCCTGAAGAATATAACATCTTTAGGTGTCTAAAGGAAGACGGAAAAGAACAATGAGGGTTTTGTGAGCTTAGCTCAGGCTCCCTGGAGTCCTGAAACCTGGTCCAGCCCCAGCAGTATATGTAACAGCAGGAAACCGATGTCACACATTTAATGCTGTCAGGCAGACATTTCAGCTCTACAAATGACCTCTCTGAAGGGGACAAGAAAGGGCCAGGCCAAACAGGAAAAAAACTCTGTGTAGAATTTCTCTCTACTCCGTGGATCCCACAATGTGAGGCTTTTCTATTTGGTTTTGACTCACTGGAAAAACTGACCAGAACTCAAGGAGGACTGTAGACTTTCGGATTCTTGAGGGTTTGGTGGGAAGGGGGTGGGCAACTCAGAAATGAGAATGTAAAACATGCAGTTTTTAAATAGCTAGCCGGGAAAATATGACTCTCTCCATGCAGAGGTACACGGCAGGAGCCAGGCCGCTTTGACTTCTGAGGGCTTACCAACGGCCTCGACATAGTACTGTTTATAGCTCCAGGAAAGGTGAAACTAAAACGTAGAGCCAAAATTTGTATTTCCATACAGTTAAGTATATGGTATCACGGCCATAAGCGTGCATAATACTTGCTTTGTCGGGGAGAAAAGCCCAGCAGTGGAATGTGCAAAGAACACATTACGATCTCCACCGAGAATCTGAAGCATGTGGGGATAAACCGGTCAATACTTATTTCTGTCATTCAGAACAAACAACTTCTGTATTTAGCAAGGCTCACATAATAACAGCCTTTGAACAGGAGGCGCTTTGATGCTGAAGTTAAACTCACTACGAGTCCTGAGGAGAGGAGGAGCTGGAGAAAGAACAGTTACGTTGCTCTGCCGACTCTCTCAAGTAACTCTGCTCGTGCCATTGGATAATAAACACTTAGGGTAGCAAAAAGACTTAAGGATACCCAGCTGACACTGCAAAATGTGCCGGGATGTCAATCTAGGGGTATTTTTCTGCTTTGCACTGATAGTAGAAAAATAAAGATATGCATGTATTAGGTCAAATCCATGACCTATCTGGCCCACCAGTTATACACAGCAAGGGCCATAATTATGGACAGTTCATTCAATAAATTTTATCTTCCATGTATATTTTAGTTATAATAGCTTAGAGCAATGAATTCCTTCAATTTATTAATCATTGTGTAAGAGTCTTTGTTGGAGAAAACATTACCTAAAATCTTTAGCACAGGTAGATTTTTGAGTGATGCTATAAATTGTCACATCAACAATGATTTCTAAAAACATACGATAGGGTTATAAGGCCAATTACTGTATATCAAGCATTTCAAAGTTGGTCTCATTACATCGTATGATCTAAAAAACTTCGCTCCTTCCTTCCTTCCTCCCTCCCTTCCAAAATATGATCTGATACTGTGCATACGTTTACCTATGCTGGGCTATTCCCACCACGGGGAAGGAAGCCCCTATACAACTCAATGGAAGAGTAATACATTCTCACCTTATCAACTGGCAATTTGTCACTCAGAGAACTGAAAACTCAATCAACCAAGCCCGATGGTAATTCCTTAAAGCTAAGCTGGCTTCAGCAGTATCAAAAGTGGCCTCAGGAAGGCAGAGACTGACTGCATGAGGATGGCAGACTCAAGACTTTATTCAAAAGGACAGAACTGGCATAGATTTCGTGTTGAGGTAGCCTGAGGAGCTGACCGAAAACAATTTCAATTATAGCGTGCGGAGCAGTTGAAAGTCTTACCAGCTGAAACCATGCTTATTCGAAGGTGTGTATTTCTCCAGCAGGGCGGTTAACTTCAAGAGTGAGTATTTCTGCAGCAGGTTCATCTGGGCCACAGACTGGCAGTTAATCTGCAGGGATACAGAGTTCAAGCTCGGCCGATGAGAGCTCTGGAAACTGTGCCATCTCAGTCTGTGCCTGCGAGAGAAGAGCAGAGAAAGTCAGTGAGCCCAAGGCTTCCTCATCGGTAGACACAAAGTTTGCAGTGGGCTGCTCGCTGGCGTCTTATCTCAGGAACTGAGAGGGCGAAACTTCTATTCCATTCTTTTTACTCCCCCTCCCCAATAAAACAATAAGGACATAACATTTGCCATTTTAACTATTTTGAAGCATATACTCCAGGGCATTCAGTACACTCACATTGTTGTACAACCATTACCATCATCCATCCACAGGAACTTAACTTCATCTTCCCCTACTGAAAGTCCGTACCCATTAAACAATATCCATTCATTTTGGATGTTAGGGTTTCCTGGTCTTTCTTAGGTACTTACACGGCTACCAAGGCTAGGCGTAATCCCATTTGCCCTCCACCACAACTGAAAGCAGTCCTTTTGTGACACTCCCCTCCCCAATCTGGAGAGGGAATGAAAGCTCTTACCTATTGGATCTAGTCAGGGAGGCCCCAACCCCAGAGTCTCTCCTCTCCGGGATGTCGGAGGGCTCTTCAGGTTCATTCAGCGAGTTGCCTGTGCTGTCTAGATCGCTGGGAGTGGCTCGGTCGTTGTCCACATCCAGATGTATCTGTTTGGGAGAGGAGGGGCATGGAGAGACCGAGTCCAGGGCTGAGTCTGAGTCTCCTTCGTCTGAAAACTTTTCTGACCACTGGTTGACTATCTTCTGCATCCCATTCACGTGGCAGAGAATGTCATCCAGCTCGGGGAATATGTCCTCGTTCTCTAGGTCAGCCAGGTCTCCTGAGCTGGAATAGAGGATGGAGCCCGGCACGTTGTCATAGATACTCAGGCGGCTGCTCATGGAGCTGGAGGAATTGCGTCTTTTAAGCTCCTTGGGGCTGTCGTTGCTGTTTTCCCTCCTCAGGCTGATGTGGCCGGGGCCGTGGAAGCTTCCCGTCCTCCAGTTCACAGAGCTGTTATTCCCCGAGGGAGAGAAACTGCCATTGGAGAGGGCCTTGGGGAAAGTGCCAGGCTTGTGATCTTCCGGGATGTAGAACACTGTGTCCTCTGGGTACCTCTCGCGGTTTCTGAAGTTCTGCTCTACCACGTTGTTGAAGGTCGACTGGTTGAAGGGGTCAAAGCCCTCTAAGTACATGCCCACGCGCTTGTTGCAGGCGCTGAGGCTCCGCGTCCTGGTGACAGGGCTGGGTGTGCTGACGGCGCTGCTGGTCTCAGACTGGCTGCTGCTGCTGCTGGTCTGGGTGGAGTTGGAAACACTCCTCTTTCGTACCATGGGGACGTTAATGTGGTTGCCGTTGAGTGCGGAGATCTCCACGCAGTTCAGCTGCTTCAGCTTCTCCTCGTCCATCCCCTCTTGCAGGATGGGCCCGCTGATGATCAGCCCCAGCTTGGAAGGCGCCTTGTGCTTGCCGTGGTGGGAGCCCTTGAGCTTTAAGCTCTCCATGCGTTTCAGCAGACTGCGGGTCTTGGACTTGGTGTTCTTCTCGTGGCCTTTCATGCTAAAGCTGAAGCTGGACAGTTCCTTGGGAGAGGGCAGGCTGCAGAACGAGTCATCGTTGCCTACAAAGTTGCCGGAGGAGGAGCAGACGCTAATGACGGAGTTAGTCCTAGGTGTCGCAGCGTCGCCACCGAGGGGCACGTGGGTGGGGAGGCTGCTCGTGCTGCTGAGGCTGCGGACGGAAGCCACCTCCTGGCGCTCGCTGAGGTCTGTCAGCATGCTTTCGTGGCTTGGGGCGCTCTTCAGGTGGGGGTCCTCGGGGGACCCAGGGACTGGGTCCTGCTTGGGGGAAAAGACATCAAACTCTTCAAGCCGGGACCACCTCTTGCTGTCCCTCTGGAAAGTCCATTTGCCACTTATTGCACAAGGCTCATCCTCATCTGAATCTTCACTCTGCAAAGACAGAATAAAGCCATTGAACACTGGAACTGGAAAACAGCAGGCAGGGAGTGGGACATACGAGTGTTCTGAGGTCCAGGAAGCCCGGAGACTGCTCATAATACACCCTCAGGGTCAATTCTCCCTTTATATCTTTATTTTATTATTTTTTAAAAATAACAACGATGTATGTAAAGAATGTTACAGGAAAAAGCCCGATCAAGTGTTTCAATCTAAATAAGTTATTTTATGGAAACTCTGGGATCTATAGGCTGTTCTTTAATTGCTCACAGAGGAAACCTCTGAGATCTGTGAAAATTCCAGGCATGCAAAATATTTTGAACTGGAGTCAGCAACGGGTAGGACTCCCTCTGCTCTGCCTCCAATTTTGCTGTCTGTTGACAGTGTGTGTTTATATTCCCTTTTGCAATTAAAAAGGCAGTTTTCTGACACTAAGAAGAGTGGTAACTAAAGTCTCTAGCCACCCTAAGAGTTCATAAGATCTCCCAAATGACTAACGGAGAAACCAAGCGAGGTAGTAAACCATCACATCTCTTCAGTCCCATACTTTTTATCTTCTTACCTGTTCTTCCTTGTTCCCTCCTCCACCAGACACAGGGTCTAGATCTAATGCCACAGTGCCCTGTGAAGTCTCAACCTCAGACACGCTCCAGGCAATGTAACAAGGCTTCACAAATACCCAGTCCTGACAGCACGTAACATTCACAAACACTAAGTAACATCTTTGCTGATTATGCTTGATTTATGGGCAGGATTTGGGGTTATGCTGTAACACAAGCCACTGCATCTGAGTCTTTCAGGCAAAGTATCAAAAGGCATGATTCACTATGATGCATATCTTTCCCACTGGTGTGGAAACTATCATATGGCCCATGTTTCACAGGACAATGAGTTGAGAGCACTAAATGCTGACTTGTATCCTCCTCTTCACAGCTCGGTGTGTGTTGAGGTTCGAGTTCATTTGTTTCAAAGGTTTAACTCCCCCAATAAGGCAACTTGATGCAGGTCAGGGACTCCAGGCTAATTAAAAGTTGTGCTCTGAACTGTCAGAAGTTTGCTCTTTGACCAAACTGATTCCTGTTTACTCTAATTTGTGGCACTCACTCCCAGTACTACACCCACCTTGTGTCCTAACATCTCATAAAAGGTCCTCACATTTCATAAGTAGAAGAAAATACTGTCCGTTTCAGTTGTGTCACTATTTAAATAGAATGTGTGGGATTTCCTGCCCTCCTTTCTCTCCCAATTCCTTTCCTCCCTCCAAAACTCTTATTATTCTTCAGTGCTCCACAAGACAGTCTTCACTTGAATCTCTGCAGCTTTGAAACATAGTCACTGTTCTAAATGGGAACCGTAGCTGTACTTTCTGTAGGGAGAAATGCAAAATTCACCAGGATGCCTTAAGCCCCATCCTTTGAATATGGAGCAGGCGTTGAGTTAATGAGGCAAAAATAGATGATTTGTTCAGATCAAAAACAATAGAAAAACTCATAGCTACAGAGAAGAGGCTGGTGGTTGACAGGGGTGAAAGGTTGAGGGAATAAGCAAAATGCGTGAAGGGGGTCAAAAGGTATAAACTTCCAGTTATAAAATAAATAAGTCCTAGGAAAGTAATATACAGCATGGTAACCATAGTTAATAATGCTATTGTATATTTGAAAGTTGCTAAGAGAGTAGATCTTAAAGTTGTCATCACAAGAAAAAAAAATGCAACTCAGTGGTGATAGATATTAACTAGGCTCATTGTGGTGATCATTTCACAATGTATACAAATATTGAATCATTACATTGTATACCTGAAATTCATATAGTGTTATATGTAATTTATATCTCAGTTAAAAAAAATCAGTAGGAAAAACACAATTTATTGGCTGGCTGCACCTATTAGTTTCGACTACATAAAGCTACACAGTCTTTGTTAAACTTGACTGATTTATAACAATAAAAATGTAGGTGTTTTTGGGAACAAGGAAATTAGAGTTTGAAAACCAAAACTTATTAGAAAACACATAATCCAATTTCTGCTCTATCCCCTTTCATCCCATACTATTATACATTTTATATACTTACTTTCTTCCGATGAGGACTAATTTCCAGTTTCATTACCGCACATTTGTTTAAAGTATTTAGACGCCTACAGAGCAAAGAAAAAACATTAGCAAAGATAGGACATCATTGATGGGTGGATAAATATTTTTTCTCAAACAGTTGACATGTTTCATTAGTTTCTTTGAATCCATTAATATCTATAATTTATAAGAGTATTGGAATCTTTTTAAAAAAGTGAATAGTTTTAAAATACCTTTATCTTTCTTAAGATTTTTCACTTACATTTACTATCACATAGTACAAGGGCACACTATGTATGGTCCTGTCAGGTGCCTCTTGTTTTTCATGGAACACACAACTGTCAATGACCTCTAGCTTTAGCTATTAGGTAGCTCCACACAATGCCAAGAAATAAAAGCCAGTGATGTCTCCTTTCATAGAAACAGTAACAGCAACAAGGAACCAAGCAGAGTCATAAGGACAATAAACACTGTGTTCTATCTCAAGTCAAAATTCACAATATAAAAATAAAGTTGTTTTTAGTTATCTTCAACAAATAATAATCTTAAGCAGGCTGTTTAAAAATTTAGTGAGTTCTTAAAAATTTTTTTAGTGAGTTCTTCTACAGAAAGGAAATTTGAGGCCTTTTTAATACCCTGTTCTTTTTACAACTTCCTGTACAGTACAGAATAATGTTTGCTATAGTCACAGAAATAGTGCAAATGACAAATAAAAAAATAGTATATTGAAGCTTCAAGGATCAAAGTCTTGGATCAGATTCTTCTTTGGAACAGGAGTCATACTGTAACTTAGAATACTTGTTTTTTTTTTTACCCTTGCCAAACAGTAGTGATGTTAATTTAATATTAGAGAACTAACTTAGTTTCATTGAAAATAAAATACTTAAAGAAAAAAAAAACAAAAACCTCTCACTGGGAAATAATGAAGTAGCTGAAGAAAGAAACCCTTTACTTATGCAGGAATAAATGATATGCAAAAGTGTGACTGACAGCCAGCCTGTCAAGCCCCAATTCTTTCTAACATCTTCCAGATGATCATCACTTAGTCTTCCCTAAATGAACCTCAACGTATCTACAGTCTTGCATCATCCATCTTCCAGTTTTTCTGACGATTTTAATTCCTTTGTTTTCATAGGTTAAGAGCATTTAATTCACACAAATTCAAACTGACCACAAGACCTCTTCAATGAGGCTTATGTTCCTAATCCTGTCCTCGCAGCTTGTCTAACAATTTTGACCTGCAGGAGGATAGACAGTATTTTTGTCTGCTAATAAGACTGACTTTGATTTCATAGAGTATGTGGTAGCCTGTTTATAGAATGAACAAAGATAACCCAGAGCACCTATATTCAGGAAAATTCTCTGTTGATGGGGAGGGAAAGAAAACAAATAACTGAGAAAAAGTCAGTGGATATAAGGTCCCTCTCTAAGGGGCGTCCATTACTTAAATGACTTATACCCTCAGTGTTTTCGTTCTCAAATGTTTTCAAGATTAAAGAATCTGGAATGGTTACAGTTAGTCTTAGGTCTGGGTTTCATTAATCAAATTTGTAACCAAATACCCACTTGACTTCATTTGGGCTTTAATGGTTGAGTGGTGTTTATAACCCGGTTTACTAGGCATGGCGGTCTGTGGGGGTGTGGGAGAGGCTTACTTCACAAACTCTAGATTTGAGTCAAACAAAAAAACCTGGGAGGCCAGTTTTATAAAGGTCAACATTATCTCTTTCTGTTGGTATCACCCAGCTAATGACCTTTCAACTTCTGAAGCCCTGAAGTTATTCCCTGGGGTTTCTGCGGGAATCGTTTGTCCCCTAAGGCCTCCAAAGAATGTCGCTGGTGGGACCTTACCTGCTTAGAGATGAACATTACTGACATGAAATAACAGTTCCAGCTAGACGAGTCAGGGGCTCTCTGTGGGTCAGGCACCATGCCTGTGCCTCATATGTATATTTCATTTGGGACCTCACAACAACCCTAAGGTACAAGGATTACTATTGAGCTTCATTTTATAGATGAGGAAATGGGGGCTTTGGAGGACACAGCTCTTGTCTAAGGCCACATGACTAGACATGGTGACTCTTGTCACTCAAAAACAAGTATCTTCTTCATTCTTTTCTAAGATAAACGTCAATCATGATAAAATATGGGAACAGCTAATATCCTAATTAAGATTCGTCAAATGAGGGGCAGAACAACGGTGCCATACACCATCTGTCCAGAAGCAGAGGTTGTTCCTACCCCGAGGGCTCACAGGGCTCTCAGCTGCATAGGAATGTGTCAGTCTTATCTGCTGCATAACTTGCACCCTGTTCTGAAGTGGGAGGGGGCTCAAGGGTGGGTCATCAAAGGTTCAAGAGCTTTGCAGCATGGAGCTGTAAGCATCCTGATAAAAGCATAGCAGGTGGGCCTCTGGGCCTCTGATTCAAAAAGAAAACAGGGAAAAATACAGAGAAATGTGAGAACAGAAAAAGAAACAATTTTTCAAGACCTGACAGATAAACATTGTTCCAATTCTTAAAGGTATTTTCGTAGAATTAGTGCAACTGCTTAAAAAAATGAGTTGCTCCCCTTTTAATAGAACAGAACTAGTAACCAAGTTAAAATCTACTCTATGGCAGGCTGCTCTACATAGCTTAGGCACTTCAAGGGCTGTTTTACAAGAAGTGCAGACTCAAGAGGATAGTATGGCTATCTATTTATCATTATACAATTATCACCTTACTTATGTAATTTGTTGGTGTTGTTGATAAGGAATCAGTGGTGACTCCAAAGGAAAAGAGCAATATGGAATATTTTTCAGACGCGATCGAGACAAAACATTTCACAAGAGGTACTCTAATAGGTCACAGTCTGCATCGTCTGTGTATGCTTTAAGGCAAACAAATCGCTCCTCCAGCCTAACACTGAATGTGACTTGGCTTTATCATTGGGGCTGGATTATACAGCAAAGCTTGCAAGACTGGGACAAAAGCCAATCTCTCCAAGGAAACGAATACATAAACCCCTTACCCGTGTGAGTGTAAGAATGTCCATTAACAATCAAAATGCAAAAAACTGAGTAGTTCCATAATTATCACTTTCAGTTGCTCCATAAGAGAGTATCATCATCATTCTCAAGAAAATATTAAGTCTACAAGTCTTCTGCACTAAATAGACTATGTTAAGAGATCAGCGCCTACCAGATTTTTGACCAAAGGAGCTTTAAGATAGCAAATGTTATAAGTATACAAATATTTATAATAAATCTTTAAGCAGAACACAAATGTACATAGCACTTGTAACATCTGTGTGTCTGTGTGCTGGGGGGTGGTGCTGGTGGTGACAGCAAAGGAAACCTATGTAAGAATTACTTTAAAGTAAATTTTTAAAAAGTTTTATTTAAAGTAAAAATATGAAATTAAATTTTTAATATTTTACTAAAACAAAACTTCAACTGTAATATTACCATCTATATTTAAAATCAACTGTTCAAACTATTTCAACAAGGCAAAATTTCAAACCACATTACAGCTTCATGGTTTGCTGGTCCCTGAATTCCATGGGCTGAGAAAGTATGTGGAAGAGGCCAGTAGCAAGTGAGATGAGTATCACACAATCAGTAAAACAAGTACCTCCAACTAGTCTGCTGATAGCTCAGAACCTGCAGCGCATTTCAAAGGAAGATGCTTTGGTAGATGGCTACCACCTATTTTTCTGAAACATTTGTTTAGGCCTCTCAAAAGGAGAGCCATTTTCTGTGAAAAGTCTATTTATGTGAACATGTGGACAAGAGCCCTTGGGTTTTCCATTACAAACAAGTTGATGACTGTTAATGTGAATTCTGAAGATTTTTAATTGTTTTTTAAAGAAAACGCAACCTCAGGCCTTTCTCAGACATACTCAAATCTGGGCGTGAGATCTAAAGCATTGTGACATTTGTCACTGCGTTTATTCTCACACGTAACCTGTGAGATATTACTTTATGCATGAGAGAAAACTGAAGCCTTGTCAGAATAATTCTCTGCAGAGTCCAAACACAGATCAAGGCTAGTTGATTTTAGGCTTTTCTCAAAAGATCTGGGAGCGCAGATCTTTCCGTTTGAAGGGAGTTGGCCTCTCTAATGGTGCGGAGCGTCAGTGGAAATCACCAAGTACAGAGGGGGCCCTTCCTCTCAGAGCACGGAAACTAATTTCAAATTGATATTTTGAAAAAAACCCCACAAGTATTAAGAGTCGAATCATGTCCCTTTGGGCTGCAATGCTGCAGCGATATTTTTTATGACCTAGGAATTCCTAAACTGTTGCTGCTGTTCAGGCGGCCCACTCACTCAGGGGCTTGTAACATATGAAATGGATCAAGTGACGCAATGCATGAATATTTCATAGGATACATAGCATGAGTGGCCTCATTTCTATGTGTTATCACCAATGATGAATTGAAAATAAATGAGTTCTGCCACACAGCTAAGCATTAAAACATTTAAGAAATGTCTGCAGTAGTTTATATTCCAGATGCGGACTTCTTCCCTCCTGGACTGCGCTAGTTTTTCATTTTTTTCATTCCACAGGACATAGCTATGATATTACACACTACAGTGTGGGACTTGGAACTAAGTTTTTTTTCGGAAAATGTGCACAAACCCTGGACTTTCTAAGCAGTCATTTAATTGGATGTGCGAAGTGACAGTGTTTCTGGGGTTAATAGGGCATTTTTTCTTTCTTAAATCACCAGAACTAGTCTGTTTCAAACACCATTCTAAATATCCTATCTATCTTTCCCTAAAACCACTGCTTAAATTAGCTGCTTTAAAAAAATATTGTATTACGTAAGAAAGGCAAAACATAGTGCTTTCATAGAGCTACCACTGTTTTCTTTGCCTACAAAGGGGGAATAAATACAGAAAGTCATTCTATCTCAATGATATTTTTCCAAGTTAAAATAAATACTGAAATTAAAATAAAACTTATTTCAACTTTATAACCAAATCAGCATGTAAATTTTGTCGATGTACAATTTTCAAGAATCCAGATTTTATGGCTTAAAAGTTTTGAGGAAAATCAGGAAGGATGAATAACATAAAATGAATAAAATATCATGAAGAATTTCAAAGGATTATCAGTGTCCGATCATTGTCTGCTACATGTTTTATTATGTCCAAGTCACTAAAACCTAGCCTGAAGATCCAATGAACAGGGACGTCTGATGGTTTTATTCACATTGCACATCCATGCTCAGTTACTGCCTGTCCAGTGTATGTTAAAGGCTGTGTTGAGTTAGTTCACGGCCTTATTTAATCCTATTGTTACTATTTTGTACCTGGAAAAGCTGAACAGGCTCAGAGCAGCTTTCCTGAAATTCCAGAGATGGTCTTCCTGATGCTAATATGCCATAATCCGCCTGCTCCCTTTATTCCTCTGTTATTTCCATTTAATATCACAGTAGCTTTGGCTCTGTTAGGATAGCTGGTTGGGGCTGTGCTGTCCATTCCGTTGCCCTTTCAGAAACCCTGCTCCAACTTTCCGAACCATCTGAAGTTAGGTGTTTTAGCAATCATATGGTACTATTCTATTTGAGTACCTCCCAGGGCAGTGCTATTTTAATGGTGATACTAAATATCAGGATTTTAGTTATTATAATTAAAAGGCCTATGATTTATAATGACCTAAATCCCTATACCCATTTTCTAATAAAAAAACCTGACGTAGAACAAAAACAAATAAAAAGCATCTTAGTGATAGCACTGTGTTCTTAAAAGAAAAAGAAAATGCTCAAAACATTTCCATTTACCTGCATAAAGCCTCGGTGGCATCTCTGTCCAAAAAATCATGCTCTCTCTTGACCAAGGAAATATCAATGGGGAACAGGAGATCTGAAAATACAAATATATAAAAAAATAAAAACAACTACATCTATTGAGCACCCTAGATTCTTGTCAGACTAGCCCAGTTTAGCACAAAATGGGAAAAATACTCCAAAGTGATTTTGAATACTTACTGTATACAGGACAGATACCTCATTCCCTATTAAGTGTTATGGGAGAATAAAGCAGCTTGAGAATCTATATTCTAAAGATATTAAGGATATTCAAGGTACTGTAAAGAGAATTCTGTATCCTTCAGTGTCCTAACGGAGCTTAGGATCTAAAGTGGTCTGGAGACTAAGGTTTCTCTCTCTTCTTGTCAACGGTAAGTGGTTCGTAACACTCTTCCCGCCTTTAAACAAACCAGCAGGCAATAGACCCCTGCTATAAATTATAATTTAAGCCAGAATGGATACCAGAAGGATGCTCCCTTTTAATGTAGCTAGGTTTCATTTATGTATTTTCTAATTCTTCTTTTTTGCCATGTGTGTCTTTGCTCACATTTGATCAGGGAAGAAGGTCATGGAAAACGGGCCAAGGAAAGGTGGAGAAAACAATGGCAAGGGGAGGTAAACGGAACCTAACCATTTGCATGACATCAAAAGCTAAAGAGAATTCAGGATATGCTATTTTTAAACAAATATTAGCACTTCCATATGGCTTTTCAGGATTTTATATAACTCCCCCTAATACAAAAGACCAGCTATAAAACAGAATCTTATAAAGAATCCCAAATCCCTTAATCTGTAGAATAGTTCAGTACTCTTAGAATACTGAAGAGTTCTATCGGAATTGAAAAACAGAAAGGAGGACAAAGTCCACTCAGTGGAAGAATTCCTTTCTGCATCTCTTGTTGATAAATATGTCCAAGAACAGTAGAGAGAAGACCAGCAGCACCACTAGAAATTTACAACAGCTCTGGATAAAACCACATTATCCCTCTTCAGAGGTTAGATATTAGGGTAAATAATAGCTAAAAAATATATTAGGGGCTTCCTATATATTATAGAATGCTTCTATAATATCATGTGTAAGAGTCCTGTGAAATGCTGCGGGTCAGGAATATGCAAAACAATTCAGCACAGCAGGAAACCAAGATTACTGTAACTAAAATAAAATGATTCTTTTGGCATACAAATGGTAAATACTGCATACTGGACTAGACGTGGTGACTCGCAGGACATGAGAGTAATTAGTAATGTTCTAGCTCTTAGATTGGCTGGGGAGTGCATGACTGCTCCTTATGTTTTTTTTTTTTTTTTTAATTTTTTTGGGGAACAGTGTGTTTTTCTAGGCTCCATCAGCTCCAAGCCAAGCAGTTGTTTCAATCTAGTTGTGGAGGGCGCAGCTCAGTGGCCCATGTGGGGATTGAATCAGCAACCCTGGTGCAATGAGTACTGAGCGCCAACTGAGCCAACAGGCCGTCCTGTCCTTATGTTTTTGTGGTTTCTAACTTACAAATCTGGTCTTATAGGATGGTATGGAACTCCTTATTCTTAGTAATTTATTTTAGAGATAACACTTAAAAATACTTTTTTTTCCCTACAATGTTGAAAACTAAATGAGTGTTACAGGCAAATATTTTTTTCTGAAGGCTGGAGTTAGATTAATGATACTCTTTCCTGAATGAGAACATAGGTAGACCAAAGAAGTAGCTATAGCCCAAAAATTTATGAAGAAATATATGAAATTATTGCAGGATTATACCTCTTCATTAAATTATAGACAAAGTCTCTTAGGTAAACGATGAGTGGCACCATTACAGTAGAAATAAAAGAGGGGGTTTATAGTGAATGCAAGCTCTTAGTAAATACAAGCAAGGCAGACTGCAATGCTGTTTAAAGGTTGTGGCGTTGTATTTCACTTTAAACAGACACTAAAAACTAAGTATCAAATAATAGAGCTGACATTAAAGAATACATTTTTCATATTTCCAGAGTATAACATTAGATATATAAAATATGAACTAAAAAGCTCACATACCTTTAAGTGTATATGAGCAAGCAACTATGCTGCCTTAGCAATTACCAACTAAGTATACCAGGGCCTGTATTTTAGATTACTTTCCTGATATAAATTAACTTTAAAATTGTTGTTTTTTAAAAAAATTCTAGGGTAGGTAGGGGCTAAATGCAAGAGGAGTGAAGTAATTAAATCAATTTTCTAGTATTTGCCTATATATATATATATATATACACATATACATATATATGTTTTTTTTTTGGGGGGGGTTAAGTACTGGCTTTTAAAAGATGATGGTTTTATTGACATATAGAAGTTCTCAGAGTGCTTCACGTTAGGATTTAAACTTCCAGCCGGGGTTTAAAGGCAGGAAGTAAAAACTGCCAAGGACCAAAATAAAGCTAAACAGGAAGACAAGGAATGTGTGGGTTGGTGTGTGGAGTGTGTGTACTACGTACGCTGTCTCTAGTGGCAGGATGAAGGGGAGAAATTAGAGCCAGAACAACACACCTCAAAAGCAGGCATATGCTTAAAAAGACCTGTAAACACGAAGGGACCCCGAAATGTAACTTGTGAAAAAGAAGTCTGCGTTTTAGGATTTGGGAAGATGTAAGACAGAGGCTGGAACTGGGTCTTAGCAAACATACACGTCATAAGAAAGTGCTGCTTGGCAGCAAATCAACACCCAAAATGGACATAATTGAAGGAAATTTAATTTCTAAACAGGAGAACAAAAGGAACAAAAGGACAGCCGTGTTAGTGCCACTGCAAATGCAATTATCTTTCCCCATCTCCAGTAGAGCTGTGAATTGAAAATTCAACAGAATGCTGGTTCCCCTCCCCGCAAAGTCCTACCGAAGGACAGAGGTGCTCTAAATGTTCACAGGTCAAAAATTCTCTCTACAGGAAAGATAAGCAGTTGGAGATATTCTCTGAAATGGAAAAACAGTAAAATATTTTATATACTCTAACAATAAAATAATTCTGAATCCATCTTCATGGGAAAAATCATACACTCAGTCTGGGCTACAATAAGAAAGACCAAGTATTGTAAATTGGGTAATGAATTAATTTAGCTGAATGAGCTAGGGAAATAAAAATAATCTCTAAGGCCTCTGCCCTATTCGCTTCTAGGGAGGACCTCCCCCACTCGACTCCATATCCCTCTTCAAAGCAGCCTACTGATCATGTCTAGCACTTCCAAGCTTACACACTATGTCTATTCTGTGCGTGGACTCATGGAATTTTGCTTGTGTGTTAAAGAAGTTTGGTAGTGACCCCTAGCTCCAACTGAGAGCCCTTAGCCATTGTTACAGGAAATGGTCTGCTGTTATTATCCCTCGAAGCAGAAAAGAGCTAAAGACATGTTTTAAAATCACTACTTATTGTAAGAGTTGAACGTTCCTGATGAAAAATTTAAGTGACATCATTTCAACTGGATCTTTTAGAGCTTTTTGTCACATGGTGACTGCCTCACAGCATCTTAAGTGATGAAAAAATTGTATTTTTAAAAATGTAAGACAGCCAAAATTATGTTGGCTTTTTGTGATTTTGGCAATTCCTTAAAGGTCTTCTTTGAGGTTTCAACTGTTTTGTTTTTATAAAATATGCAGCATCTACAACATTCTGTTGGTGCAGAATACTGGCTGGTTGATTAGCTGAATAAATGGATGGATGAATGAATGACTAAATGAGAGATACCTAGTGTCATCATCTCAAGAGAGCTAAGAAAACAAAGGATGCTCAAGTTGGAAGAAGCCATGGAAATCGTTCAATTTACTCTCAATTTTGGAATCACTTCACTATTCACCCAACCTTTGCTTGAAAATTACTCATAAAATGGGAGTTCACTAGTTCACACTGTAATTCTTTTTAAATGATTTTATGCAGAGAATAAGAACTCTCATTTAAATGAAGAGCCTGTTCATCTCGCACTCTGCCCACACTAGGCTGCCAGGGGCTCCGAGAATGAGCGAGACTCCAGGTGCTCCTCCTCCTTGGCCTCAGTATCTGAGTGACCTCCGGGGCACTGATGAGAAAACGAAGTAGGAAAAATTCAGTCTAGATACTGATTTTTTTTTTAAACTCCATTTTTCTGAATTAAAAAAATTGAAGGCCACTGAAGAAATAATATTCATCACATGACAATCTAAAGAAAAGGGAAAAGCCTAATTACAAACTGGGAGAATATATCTGCAACCCATGACCAACAAAAGCTTAGTATTTAGAATAAAGAACTCCTAAGACTGTAGCAAAAGCACCATCGACTCAGGAGAAAATTGGGCAAAAGACATTTTACAGAAGAGCAAACACATATGGTCAGATGATAGGAAGAAATGTGCATTATATCATTAATGGTTAGAGAAATGGAAGCCAAACTCTGGAAGACAGCATTTTATATCCATTTGATTGACAAAAAAAATTAAAGTGTGACAACATCAAGTGCTGTGAGCATTTGGATGGACAGGATCTTTATACCGGGGGTGCCAAAAATATGTATACAAGTGGACACTTTGGTCAACGCTGCTCAAGCAGTAGTTTGCCGTAATCAGAAGTGTCTGGACGCTGATGGGAACCACTTTGAGCACCTATTGTAATTGCAGAAGTCAAACATGACTTGTATTCATCTTTTGTTATTGGTATATATTGGGTATTACAATTTTAATACATTTAATACATTTAATTCTTTCTTAAAATGTGTATACATTTTTTTGGCACCCACTGTATGTTACTAGTAGGAATGAAAATTGGTACAAGCACTTTTGAAAAACTTGCATTATAAATCAAACATGCATATTCTGTATTACCCAGTAACTCTACTCCGAGGTATACTTACACGGTAAGTTATTACTCATGTACCACAAGAGTACAAGAATGCAGAAGAATGTTCATAATAGCAGTTTATAAAAGCAATATAGAAAAACCAAAATGCCCAACGATCAGAATAAATTCTGGTATATCCACACAATGGAGTATTATATAGCAATCAAAGCAAATGAACTACAGGGGCACACAGTACAGGGGGCATGCAGTATGAAAGAATCTTAATATAATAATGAGTGAAAATATTAAATCCCACAAGGTTACATAGAGCACAATATCCTTTCTATAAAGGAAAAACAGTTTATAAAAAGTATAGTTTAGGAAAACATAGTAAAACTAGGTAAAAAGAAAGCAAGAAAATGATAAATAGAAGTTCCAGGATGATGGTGACTTTGAGTAGGGGGATGGCAGAGAGATGGAATGGGAGAGCACATGTGTGGGATATTATCAAGATTCTAGTTCTTGTTTTGAGTGCTGGGGGTCTTAGGTGCTTGCGATGTTGTGTTTTTTTTTTTTAAATGACTGAAATAGTTAAAATAAATAATAAAATGTCTGAAAATAAATCATAGATCCATAATAATCATGAACCCAGGATAGGATTATGCCAATTAAAAAAAAATGGAGTTCCTGACTCACCTTCATAAAGCTGTGCATACTGGGGGAAACCTGTTGCCCGTAGCCAATCACAAGCTTCTTTGGCTTCAATTTCTAAAATAGAACAGAAGGAAAACAAAAGTATTAGTCATGTGTATCTCAGCATGCTTCTTCCTTAACCAGCTCTGATTTTGTTACACAAGCAAACCATGGATGTCTGTTGAAAATAGATAAGCCAAACAAAATCCATTTACTTCAAATGGTTTAAAATTTTGTGCCTCTTTTCAGCCTTTTAAAAATGTATATAATTATCCCTCTTCCCTTTAAAAAAAATGGGGTTCCAGCAGCAAGTTACTCTATGCTGCTTCTGTGTTCTGGTTACAAATGATTACGAAAATAGGGCATAATGAGAAAGTTAAGAGGGATTAAATAATTAATTTTAAGTCCGGATGGCCTAACTTGGTTTATTGTTCATGTCAACAAAAGGCCACCAAGTACATCTGACACCCTGAAAGGAAACTATCCTGACTGAAGGAACAGACCTTCTGCCACCCAATGGGATGCACCTAAATGCCTCGCTCAGTCACTTGGACGACGGGCCTCTAGACGACGTAGACGCATCCTGCAGTAGGAGGCCCAAGCAGTCAGGCGACCCGGAGGGCACTAAGTCAATAAATTTCACAATCTTGGCAGGCTGAAAAGCCTAATAAAGCTTCTATTTCCCTGTGATTAACATCTTGTAGATAGTATTGATAAACAGAAAGGCCAAGAGCAACTGACACGCTGTGTTCAAATTCACTCAAGCACATGTTTACAATTCCCTTAAAGCTGCTTCACAGAGGCTGTCTAGGGCACATTCATGAGTCTGTTTGCACAAAAAAATATTCTTTCTGTGCTTCTTCCCACCTTCCTCAGGCTATTAGCGTACTTAGGTATCGAAGGCTCATTTATTCACTCATTTATAAATGTCTCAACATTGCTTAATTTATTACAGATTCATGTCTTCCTGAAGCATCGCTCCTCTAAGCCAGTTGGGAGGTAGAGAGCCCATGTTACGAGAAGAATACATATCTTACTACTTCTGTCTAGTAACTTTAGAGTTTCAAAGCCCTTTTTGCCTATTATTTCACGAGTTCCCTGGCCTTTAAAGAAAGGTAATTACGAACACTCAAATTCACTAAAGAGCAGGTTGGAATGTCCTTATTGAGCAGGCCAAAGAGGAAAACTACCTGCCGTCTTCCTGTAGGTTAGTTAATAACCAAACTAAAAACAATATGGCAGTAAAGTGGAAATAACCTGGCAAAGTTTACTTCTGTGACTCTTTTTAGTGTATGACAAAAGCAGCATTATTGAACACCAGATTTAGGACTGAAGTGGGGGTGAAAAGTAAAGTGACATAAATGTGTAAGAGCCTCGATATTTGCACTGAATAAAAGAATATATGGAATTCTCTAATGTGAATTACCTGCGCTTAACCATTTTCATGTATTTATATCCATGCCTTGTCTCAGAAAGAAATTAAGGTAGTTTAAATAAAATCACAAAATAAACGCTTTCTAGAAAGCTATATTTCTGGAAACTTATATAAAAGCTCAACATTTTATTTTAAAGAATGAGGAAACGACTTTTTCTCTATCTCCATGGCCCCTGCTCAAAGACAGATATGGAAAGGAAAACAAGCTGTTTTTTTCTTTTTTTAAATTTTAAGTAACTCACTTCTTCTGACTATTTAGAGGTTATTTCTGTTGAACGGATTGTCAGACACTGAACAATAGTTAAAAAGTAAATGTTCTTGTTTTCTTAATATTTTACTTCACGAGTGGTGAGTAACCAGAAATTCTCAATATCCACCTTTCTTTTGACTATGTTCAGACATAACACCAGGTCCATGCGCACACACAAGCTTTAATTAGGCCGGATTTGCCCACCTATTTGAACATATTCCCACTTTTCTTCTTAAAAGGCTTCATGCCAAGAGACACAAAGGATATAAGACATTATTTTTCTAAAAAATCTTAGCATTTACAAATGACAGTGTTGTCACATATATTGCTCATTTAAGGCCCTGTGTGATTTCAGGAACTCATAAATGCTTATTGCTGTCTTGTCACTCTTCATTTTCCACCACTAAGAAAATGAAATGCTCCCAAGACCAAAAATTGATCTAAAAATTGTGTGTAAATTGTCATTCTTTTTATAGGGCCCCTTGGATAGAAAGAAATGATGTGACCAGGCGAAGGTTTCCTTCTCCAGCAGATAATAATTTAATTAAAGGTTTACAACGGCTAAAAAGCAGTGTTTTCCAGAATGCAGAGACCTAGTAATTTTACCGTTCCTTTTCCTTAACCTAAAATAGATGAGAATCATTCTTTTAGATATAAAACCATGGGAAATAGAGAAGTTTGTATCTATTTTACATCTAAAATTTTCCACTATTGTAAACTTAGGCTGCATAACAAATGAGAACTTAACCTGCTGTTTCTGTAGAAATCAGAATCAGAAAATGGTAAAAATTGTAAAAAGTTGTCACAGAGTTTATTTTTTTATTTTTTACTTTTATTTATTTTCTTTTTTATTGTTAGTTTCAGGTATACAGAACAATGCAATATTATCCTTTTTACCCTTTGCACAGAAACCACCCCCCTCCCCCATTTACTGCCCTCCACCCCCGATTATCTATTATAATTCCATTGACTCCATTCCCACTCTCTACTCCACATCCTGTGACTATATGTATATATAATTATAGTTGACATACAATATTATTCAACATCAGTTCAGAAATACAGTGCGGTGGTCAGGCCTCTACACTGACTATGAAGTGGTCTCCCTAATAAGACATGAGTCCATCTGACCTCCTAAAAAATATTTACAACATTATTGATTATATTCCCCAGACTGTCTTTTCTATTCCTGAGGCCATATTGTAGTTACCAATTTGTATAGTCTCATCCCTTCCCCTTCTCCTTCATCCCCACCCCCTCCCAACTAGCAACCCTCAGTTTTTTCTCAGTCACAGAGTTTTTTAAATAAATGGAATAGTTATTGACATCATTCCCACTCCTTCCCAATTACTACAAGAGAAAATGGTAACAATCCAAGATAAAAAAAAATCATTTTATTCATTTTATTTAATATGAAATGAACTGATGTCTGTATCCAACTTAGATTAGAATACCCTTTCAAGTTCACCGCCCTGATCCAGGCCATTACTTTCACTCTTATCTTCTAACTAGAGCTCCCAGGTGTCCAATTCTCTCCTCTCTCAGAGAATCTATCCACCACTCCTGGCTCATCAAACTTCCTGATACAGTTTTAATCTTGTTTCTCCTTCACAAACTTCACTGGAGCTCTACCGCTTAGAAAATCAAGTTTACACACCTCCGCATTGTAAACACCAAGGCTCTCCACATTGGCATCCAACTTAACTTTTCAGCTTCCTGTACCCTCTCTATACCCCAGCCAAATTAAACTTGGTGCTCATCTCCCCACACATCACAGTGACTTACCTGGCCTGAAATGCTCTCCCATCCTCTCAGTGTCAAATTTTACTCATCCTTCAAGGCCTAGCCCAAATGCTACCTCCTCTAGGCAGTCCTCCCAGATGCCTCTCCACAATTTTATCAATGGCTAATTTTGATTGAGTGCTTACTATGTGCAAGACCCATCTAAGCACTTAACGCATATTAATTCATTTATTTCTCATACAGATCCTAAAACCTGGATTACTAATATCATCCCCCATGAAATACAAATGAGGAAATAAGCAGAAAAATAACTACTTTTTCTTAAAAATGAGCTTTTTTTTACATACAAATGCCATAGGGGAGAGAGAACTAAGATTTTCAGAAATGCAAGATAGACTTGATCCTTAAAAAACAAATAATAAACATTTAAAATATTAAAGAAAACCACACACAAGTTGTATTACTTGAGTCACTTGAACTCCCCCATACCTGGTTTTCTAGAGGCTTCTAACTGGCAATTAGGATGACTTCTCCTTCAAGGTATGTGAGTGGTGGTGTGAAAACTATGAGATCTATTTTTAAAAAAAACTTTCCCCACCAGGCAAAAATGCCATCAGAAACTAAAACTACAATGGAAATACAATGATACTTATACCTGTGTTTTCTCTAACAACAGACAAATGTGTTAAGAGGAAACAGGAAATTTTTATTGGAAACAGCTTTAGTGATTAGTTGTATTAGATGAATGAGGTCCAGGAGGTCTTTTCGTGTATGACTGGGAATTATTAGGCCATATTTGCACATTTCCTGGCATGACGGGATGACCCTATCTTTCCTTTACCCCTCAACAGTAAGTTAGACAGAAATTCCCCAACCCCATCATCTTTCTGTTGAACTTGCTGTTCTGAGAAGGCTGAGCAGCCGTAATTGACTGGAAGCAGGATGTGATTACTTCCATCTTCCGTTTGCTCTGTCTTCACATGGGCACTCTCAGGTTCCTGCCTTGTTTAACAACATGCTACCAAATCAGGACTCAAGGCAAATGTTACCTGGGTTTTATCGCTTAAGTCTAAGGACTTGGAGGACTAATTCAGACTAAGAACTATGACATGAATCCCTTTCTCTTCGCAATTAATAAAAATAAATGTGAAACACACACAACTGCCAAAGACTGGTTATCAGGAGTTAACCGATGTAAAATGAATTCTACTTGGGCCAAGTCAGAGAGCACTATATATTAATATTAATTAAACCCTAACGTTACCTAATCACAGTAAAGGTTTTGACTGGCACCTAGCTGCATTCCTATCCTTATGTGTCTAAAAAAATTCTAAACATCCGCTGTGCATATTCTGAGAGAAACCGGTTAGGAAGCTTCTGAAAACCCTGTCAATGCTAATTCAGTTTCTAAGGCCATTTGGCCCAACAGTGGCTGAGCCAAATTCATTTTTAGGTATATTCTAGTATAATCATACAGTGAGGCCAATCATCCTGCATTTCCCCTTCACTCAGTATTTATTTATTGAACTACTAAGTGTGCTGCCAGCTATGCTCAGGGACAATTGCCCAGGTTCCTGTCCGGAAGCAGGAAACCAAATGGAAAGGTAATTCAGTTGAGTACACAGTATCTGATGATCCTCTACTTAG